TAGAAAGCAAAGTGGTTCGCAACGCGGTTTTTTTACGTTCAAAGTGGAAAACAGAGTGGATTTCATTTTTACAAAGTGGAAGACCACTTTGCTCTCACGGGGACCACTAATCATTAGAAACACTGATGAGAAAAGCCGTCGCCAACAGAGCCAGTGGGTCTAAGATTATTGTCGCCTGCAAACCCAGATTGTTCGCAACCGAATGATGATGATTACGACAAACCCACCATTTAGGACAAAAGCCAAATACATTTATTGCGTCTGTATATAGACTATGATCTATAGCAATTAGGATCTTCAAACGGACACTACCGTCCGGAATCCATGTAATATAAATGGTAAACTATGCACCAATCAGAAAACGCTGCAGAGGCTGTTCAGGTTTGCCGTGGTGCAGCGACATCTCTGTGTACATCTCTGTAGTATACAGCGGTTTAGGTGGACTTAGACCAGAGAAAGCTCTTTTAATATCAGTCTTTGATGCTTTGACCCAAGTGGAACAGCAGTCTATATAAACATAAAGTTACGTCAACATAAACTAAAGTGTAATATTTGTTGAATAAATATATTATATTTTCAAACAATTTTCTGCCTAAACCAGACTGGTCTAAACCAGACCAGGTCCAACCACCAGGTTTCTCCCTGGTCCAACCTGGACTTAAACCAGAGAGAAAATTGTTTGAAAATATATTTATTCAACAAATATTACACTTTAGTTTATGTTGACATGGCCTAGTAGACTGCTGTTCAACTTGGGTCAAAGCGTCAGAGACTGATATTAAAAGAGCTTTCTCTGATTGAAGTCGACCTAAACCACTGTATACTTTACTGCGACTACTTTCGACAGATGCCGCTGCCCCACAGCAAACCTGAATAGCGTCCGCAGCGTTTTCTGATTGGCCCGTAGTTTACCATTTGTATTACGTGGATTCCGGCATCTTGGAAGATGGCCGACGGTAGTGTCCGTAAAGTGTAAAAGTACCAAAGTCAGTGCGCAAGATTAATTTTATTATTTTAAATCTTTTCTGATGATCGTCTCATGAATAGTTGTTGTGTTTAGCGGTGCATACTACATCAGATATAATGACTGACAAAAGATTCATTAACCCTAGTACTACCATGCCCTTTTTTGCATTTTATACGACTCTGAATGAGCTCCTCCAATGAGTTTCTATATTATCATCCGTCCTATCTCAGAATGGTCCCTCTAATCTTAAAACCATTCTCCCTTCCATCTAAAGCCTAAATCCACCATTGCTTCTTCGTCTTAACTCATCCTCTTCACCCACATCTCATCCGCATCCTAACCCACAGCCACATTCTCATCAAACATTCTGTGTGTAAAAAATATGAAACAATAAATATTTCAATTGTATTGTTCAATTGAATCACTAATGGGGTCAAAAATGACCCCCTTGGTAGTACTAGGGTTAAGTTTAGATTCACATTTATTTTGATAATTGTTTGGTTAATTTATAAGCACAATATCAGAGCTCACGTATGGTTCAATATAGTGTGATTGTTTTATAAAATTATGCACAGAGGGGTTGCGTGTACTCAGTGTGTTTTCTAAGTATGTCTGTCTTACTCTTTTATATTTCTTAGTTTTTATTGTCTACTGTTTGTATCATTCTGAATTATTTTAATGTCTATTTACGATTTGTTCATTTTGACTATTTATTAAAAAAGAATTTTTTCGCTGCATGAATATCACGAATAGCGAAGGGACTTTGTGAAGTGAATATTAACATGAGTCAATTTTCGGTCTTCTCAAGATCTTTTTTATCATCTTATGTATATTGTGTTATATATTTTTTTCTAGATAGTAATTCTCAAAATGCTAATTCGCAATGTAATTCGTGAGTATTCTTCCTCCTGTTACTTTAGAAAAAAAATCCGTTTCTGTCAGAGGTGGGACCGGTTCGGTTTGAGTTTTTCGTAAATCGGTTCGACTTGGTTTGAGAAAGTTTGGGTTCGGTTGCAGAAAAACACGAACCGGTCCCATCTCTGCTGGTTATATGTTTTTCAAAATGAATATTTTTTTATTGTTCGGGAGTGGAAACCTCGGGGTTTAAGGCTTACTGGCATCTATGTAGGACATTTTTTGGCGTGGCTCACGGATAGACCATGGCCTTCAAACTCTTAAGCGTCGACTTTCAGAAAAATGGTTCGGCTATCTATGGTAGCCATCGTTACTGTCCGTCCTAAAAGTAGCTTAAAACAATAACTCTTTAAACGTTAGATTCGTGATGTTTATATATCGAACTAGAAAGTAAAATAAAAATTACTGTTTGAAACATAAGTAATTAAAGGCCAAAAGCATGTGCAAGAATACGTATCGTACGTATACAAACATATGTACGCAAAATGTCGAAACTTTGCTCAGATAAAGACTTTTGCACAATTCTCTTTTTATTTAAATAAGTTGTTGCGATTCTACTAGATCTCCGTACTGACTGGACTGCGCTGAAAATTTTTTGAGTGCATGCCCTTGCACTGGACTGGACTCAACTTTCAAGACCATGGACTGGTCTGGACTCGAAAAAAAGTTTTAGATTCACTTGAACCGAGGAATAATCAGTAAATAACACGTTGTATGTGAACTGGACTGGACTACTTTTTAGAGTCCATGGATTGAAAAATCTGTTTTCATGGACTCTATAATGGATAAAATATAGAAAGTGACTTGTTTTGCAGATTGATTTGTTTTCGTCCGATAGCGCAGATCATAAGCAGTTCGCTAGTGGAGTATGGTCAAAAGTTGTGGCAAAGTCAGAGACTATACTAATAGTCCTTGATTTTCTTGCAAGTAGCTTCCTGTGATGTGCGGAAAAGAGTATCAAAACTAGAAAAGAAGTGTATTTTGTTAAAATGTTTAAGTGGGGGTTTACAAATAATCATTTCGGCGACATTACTAATATTACTATGAATGATATTGTTTTTAAAAATTCCTAGCAAAAATATAAATATTTACTGGCAAAAAGTGCATAAACAAACAGTCATCTGATATTTTTTGTTTTATAGAACAGTTGTTTTCCTGTGATAACAGTTCTCTTTTTTATTTTTGAAAATGAAGTGAAAACACTTCCGAAGAAAAAGAATACACACAGAAACAAAGAACTAAAGTGAGGAGTGTTTGAATGATAAAGACAAAGAGGTTTTCGTTTTATTCTAACTTTAATTACATATAAAAAAATTAACCGGTTCGGTTCGATTTGATTTTCTGAAAAAAAGTACGGTTCGGTTCGGTTTCAGAAAGTTTCGATTCGGTTGCAGAAAAACACAAATCGATCCCACCTCTGGTTTCTATTACGAACATAACAAATCAATATTTTTAATTTTTTTTAATTTACAGGTGTTTGTTTACGAACACAGATACGCAAGGCATCATCGAGTGAGTAATTGACAGTTTCATTGGTGGTTTGAGTAAAATGTAGTTTTAATCTTCTAGATGCACGGTTTAATTATGAAGATGCATTCGATTTGGAATCACAGTTAACAGATGATGAAAGGATGGTACGTGATCAATTTCGTGCATACTGTCAAGAAAAATTAATGCCAAGAATATTAGAAGCTAATAGAAATGAAAGTAAAATAAGTTGTTATGTTATAGTTTGAAATTTTTATCGTTTATCATTTAAACAGTTTTATAGTTTTGTTTATCTTTCAGTTTTCCACAAAGAGATAATGAAAGAAATGGGAGCACTGGGCGTTTTGGGTCCAACAATAGAAGGTTCATTAAATTTAGTGAATTTTTCATTATAAAATGTTTGAAAACGTTTCTATTTTAGGATATGGTTGCGCGGGAATATCCTATGTTGGCTACGGACTTTTAGCAAGAGAAGTTGAACGGTATATATCTGTCTAAAATATTCTCTTTTATATTCCAAATTTTATTCTGCTAGAAGAAGAAGAAGAACACAGCAGGCAGAATTTCTAAGCGCAGAAAAGAAACATATATTTCTAAATCAAACGGCAACTTATAAAGAGTATAGGACTTTTTCTGGTATGTGTGAAGAATTGGAGAAGAAAAGTCTTTAGGCAGATTGTTTGTATTTTATCAAAGGTGAAACGGTAGCTTGATTTAGTAACAATTTTTATCTAGTCTAGTCTTTTTTTTTGTTGTTTTAGGGTGGACAGTGGTTATCGTTCAGCCTTTTCTGTTCAGTCATCTTTGAGTATGTTTCCGATTTCTGAATATGGTAATGAAGAACAGAAACAAAAATATTTACCAAAATTAGGTATATTTTGTAGTTTCATTGTATATAGAACACAAATAAATCAAGTTCTCTAAATTTAGCTACCGGAGAATTAATTGGATGTTTTGGTTTAACAGAACCGAACGCAGGCTCGGATCCAGGAAGTATGCAAACACGTGCTCGTTATGATGATAATAAAAAAGTTTACATTTTAAATGGTACAAAAACATGGTGTGTTTATTTTCTATCATTAAATTAGTATTCTCACTCACTACTCTATATTTCTTTTATTTTAAGGATCACTAATTCGCCCATTTCGGATGTTGCTATCGTATGGGCAAAATGTGATGATAACAAAATTCGAGGTTTCATACTTGAACGTTCGATGAAAGGTTTTTCAACACCAAAAATAGAAGGAAAATTTTCATTACGTGCATCAATTACCGGTCAAATATCGATGGATGACGTCCATGTTCCAAAAGAAAATCTTCTACCGAACGTTGAAGGTTTAAAGGTGAAAAATAATTAATAATAGTAGCCAGTACTAATGTAATTGTGACTCTGTTTTTGTTGTGGTATAGGGTCCATTCGGATGTCTTAATAATGCTCGGTATGGAATCGCATGGGGCACTCTTGGTGCAGCTGAATTTTGTCTTCATGCAGCAAGGCAATACACTCTCGAACGGTACCGGCCACTATTGACAATAAAAATCACATAAGAACTATCGTTTTATTTTTTACTTTTTCAGAAAACAATTTGGAAAACCTCTAGCTCAAACTCAATTAATACAAAAAAAATTTGCTGACATGTTAACTGAGATAACATTGGGATTACAAGCAAGCCTTCGTGTCGGACGATTAAAAGATGAAAACAAGTAAATATATTTGCTGTCAAATAGAAAAGTGTGATATTTGTTCTGTATTAAACAGAGCTACACCCGAAATGATATCCTTAATAAAACGAAATTCATGTGGTAAAGCATTGGACATAGCGCGACAATCAAGAGACATTCTAGGAGGCAATGGAATATGTGATGAATATCATATTATAAGACACGTCATGAATTTAGAAGCAGTGAATACTTATGAAGGTAGGATGTGTTTTCTATAATGTTTAAATAATATAAAATTCATTATTCTCCTTCTTCAGGTACCCATGATATTCATGCACTTATCTTGGGAAGAGCAATTACTGGTTTACAAGCATTTTCATAGAAGTTGAAGCATAGTGATAGAAGTTGTTTCCATTTAATACAGTGATAGAAGTTGTTGTTTTTTTATGTATGAATAAAATATATTTTTAGTGACTTTTATTTTTTGTGAAATTTTAATGATAACATTGTGGTGCAGTTTTAAACTATTACTTGTTAAAAAGAAACATTTTCAATAAAGAGATATCATATATATTTTGACGAAATATAATGGAAAATAAACGCTCTTAATAGTAAGAAAATACTTTGTCATTTTCGAACAACGAACTTGTGATGATCATTGAGATAATTTCTATGATCCACATTTTCTTTGAAAGTTGCACGCAATGTATGGAGGACAATTAAGTTTCTAGGTAAGAATTAACGTTGACATAATAAATTATTGTTGAATCGATGACTAATCGTCTAATACGTTTGATTAAGTTTATAAATATAGTAAATAGTTATAAAGATTGGCGGAATTTGATTAACAAACAGAGACCTTAACAACAATAGAACTATTTATTCATGGATAAATCAAGTTTGTAAGAATGCGCATAGTGATTTTTAGTCAATATTCTTGCTTCATGTAATTTATGTGATTTATTTTTTTCTCTTTTTATTGTCAGTCTATATACCTGAATTGATACAGGCTGCCGACATTATATTTTATCAAAAATATTTCATATATAAGTTATTCAATATTTACTCATATTTAAGACAATATTATCAGTAAATATATTACGTATTATACAACCTTTTTTCCTGAAATCATACAATATATGTTTGCATGTAAGCAAAACGAAATAATATTGAAGACTAGTATATCATACAATCAATAGTGTTATGATAGATGACAAGTTTGTATAATCAGTACTAAACTCACTCTCACGGGATAAATATATTTTTCATACTTATACATGAGATTTTGTAAAAAAAGTTTTCTTATGAATACACAAATTGCACATTGATTAAAAACGAAAGAACACCTTTTTCTTTATAAGTCGATCGTCAAAATCGATTTACACTCAGTAGTTACTACTTATATTATACTTATGTTATAGTTATATTCAGCAGTGTAATACTACTAAAAAAAAGTGAATAATCTGATATTTATTCTACTACACTATTTAAACTAAGAACGTGATTCATACGTGTTCTACATACGGTTTATTGTACTGATATTTTTTGCTAAATGTGAAAGACAAATAACGGATAAGAAGATATTTTCATGTTGAAAATAATGAGAGATATATCGAATAAATTGTCATTACTTCCCTTTGACTGCTTTACAGGATAACTGTGATATAAAACAAAATATATATCAAGTAAAGTGTATAACCAATATGCGTATATTACAAATATCACCCTTATTTTGGAATTATTGGGCGAGTGTTGTATATATTTTGGGCAGTATTAGTTATATGTTTATGGATTCATTTTGTTTAATATTTTCTGTTGATAATTATGCATCATTTGTTATCTATATCATTCTTGCCAATTTGTTTGTAATTGATGCTATTTTATATGCAATTGATTGGTATACGTACGCTATTCTATTACGTAAACATAAAAATGATTTAATAAATTATCGATCTGAATTAATAGCATGTATTTTTCAACATTTCGGAAGTTATTGTTATTTGTTAGGAGCAATATTGGCTTTAGACAAAACAAAATATATGGCAAAAATACTTATCTTAAATATTATTGGTATATTTAGTCTTGTGCTTGAAGCAATTTTTACCATTATTGGTTGGCAGATATCGCTAAGAACAAGCACATATCTTAGTCATAAACATTTCGTACATGATATTTATTTTTGGGGACATACTCTCAATTTAACGGCAAGTCTCATGTATCTGTTAGCAACGATACTTGCCGGCATATTTTTTCGAATGAAATCAATAAAATATTCTTTGATTGTTCAATTATTACAAATTATTGGAGATATTATATATGTTGTTGACTCATTCGTTTATATGGGATGTTATATGGAAGATAAACGTAGTATTGAAGAAAACCGAGAGAAAGAGAGTATTAAAGAAAATATTTCTCACCAGGTGTATGATAACCCTGGTCAAGAGTTAGAACCGATAGTTAATAATAAAAAATAAAAGGTATCTTATCGGTGCATACAGAAAAAGCTTCCTATCAGACGTTTTAGTTTCGTCTTATATCCAAAAAGTATTCTCCTCTGTAAACGGAATGTTTTTGCAATACAGTGTCTAACAGATATTGTTTGCATTATTCATAATCAAATTGAAATATTAGTAAGGTTATTTGGACAACTAATAATCTAAAAATGCCTCAAACGTGAGTTACTGTTATTTAATACACTGACTATTCACACAAGAACGAGATTGACATATAAAAACGAAAGATAAGAAAAGTACGAATAAAGACGGTATATCAAAGTTCGTCAGCAACATATGTAGAAAGAACTATATACTGGGAAAAATTTGTGTTGGGTGAATGTTTTTCAATGAGATGCGTATAAGAAAAGAATATTCTGAAATGAAGTACATAGTGATAATAGTACATATTGTAAATGATCAGTGAGAGTGACTTGATTGCTTCAAAATTTTCGACAAATGTATTACAAATAACTTCTTTCATATCTGAAGCTTTCTTTTCGCTTATGTAATTATCGTTTGTCCACTATTTAAACAAAAACTAAAAAGTAATCTCATTAGTGTTTGTTTTATATGAAATGTTAGCTTTCTCTTAGAAACTCTATTATGTTTTATGAATTTTTTGTTTTTCTTGTATCTTTTGATATTATATCGTTTTCTCTTAAAGAGTAAAGAATGCTAAGCTAATCAATGTGAAGAAGGTTGAGAAGTTATGAGAGTCTACTATGTGTAACCTCTGCCCATGAGTTTCAAAAACCGTGGAAAAAATTGAAGTTATGAAATATATAACAGAAATAGCACGACGAAAAATAATTAATTTGACTAAGTTCCTGCCGTAAGTAACTAACAGAATGTTAGTGGAGAAATTTTCTTTCGAGTATAATACTGGCCTAGGTGAAAGGATTGATGCAGTAATAAAAGTTTTTTATTGTTACGGACAGATAATGCATTCGCAAACGTTTCTTAATATCTACATATATTTGAGAGTGCTTGTACAAGTAACAAATGATTTTGTTTATTGGCAATAGAGACCTGCAGTCTTCTAGAAATACTACTTTATGGATTACACGTGCAAATATATATATGTCAACTATTCCCTAGGTATTATTAAATGTTGAAATGTATCGTTTATTTCGTCGACTGAAAGCCAATTTACAATATCATTTCGGAATAATCTTGTTATTATTGGACTGTCTATCCGTTCATCTAGTGCAAAAGAAGCAAAAATACCGCAGAAATAAATCCAATAGTAAAAAAAAATTGATAGTAAAACAGTATCAGAAAAAATGCAGTTAAACCAATTATGAAGGATTATAACTTAGAATTATTAAACTTGTTCAAATTGTTGAAAAGGATGAACACAAACAAAGAAATAACAGTCTGCGCTACACCTGATAACTGTGCTTAAAATCGGGTGTTGTTCATTAATTTGCATGAAAAAAGCACGAAGTGGAAGAATGTAAAATCTAAAATTCAATCCTAAAGAAGCTAAAGACGGTCAGGGACTATAAAATACATGTTTGATCGATAGAGAAAATCATTTTGAAACTATAGGTCTAAACCTTTTTGGTATGAGACAGGAACCGATAACTATATTGTGCCGGTACTTGTTCCATTCAAAATCTATAGACAATGACTTGTTATGGCGACTATAAATTCTTATTACTAATCGTAGTGTGTTAAAATTTTTTATCTCAAATATGCATTCTATGAACAACTATCACTAAAAACGATTTATAGACAGAATAACACATAATCTTAATGAAATTCTAGACTACTAGATGGGTATGAGGTTAGAAAATGCTTACATCAGTCAAAATGCTTCAAGCTCTTGGTCATAAAATTCTTTTGAATCTTGAGTATATTGACTTGGGTGAATAGCTTCTATAGATAGATATTCTTGTCATATACACACCGAAGGATCCGAAATGGGTTAGGTAATGTCCTAAATCGATTTATAAACGTTTATTTATAAATTTTTGATTTATAAATGGGTTTATAAACGGTTTTCCGCTGGAAAACTAGCTTCGTCGAGGTATTGGACCTCTGTCCAAAGCAAGAAATCCATGGGCATAAAGGAATCGATCATTCAGAAAGATTGAAAAAAAAAAGAAACTTTGTAAATATGAAATAATTAAGAGACTAGCATATTATAATAATGTATGAAATCTGAGTGTTTTATTAAATTAAAAATCAATCTTTCATAATTTTGCTCGTCCGGCATTTCTTTCAAGCTTTTTCAAATTGAAAAACTCTGTTGACACAAATAATTGGTGTCGCTGATCGTATTTACGTCAGTACTTAGTGACATCTGTTCGCCTTTTCATTGTCATGAGCATGTTCTCTTAGGTAGTGTCCATTGCTTGACATTAACTATGAAACCGAAAGATAAATGAAAACATTGTTTTTTTTCTTTAAGCTAGAAAATATGTACGGTATAATAAAAAAGAAAGAATGAACCGCGGTTCTGATTGTAATCTCTTAAGCTTTTTCTGCTTGTGCAGATTTAATGTAATACTATTTAAATATTCTGGTCTGATGACTTAAAACTTGCTGTGTTACACTAGAATATATTTCTTTATTTTAGATCAAAAAGGATGAACGGCTCAAATGATTATTATCGTACAAGCACATTGTCGGATGGTGCACATTATTTAGCATACGATCCAAATCAGTTATTACCCGATGATACGAATATTTTAGTGTTAGATGATTATTCTCCTAGATATGATAATGAGATGAATGTTGTATCAAACTCTATGGACAGTTTTGGTTATGCTGTCAATGCTATTAATAATAACACTAACAACGATACTATTGATGGTCATCAAAATGATGGTATCTCATATTATAATGAGACAAAAAATGAGAACAATCCGCCGGAACTAAATTCCATGCTGGCAAGTGGTAATTTTAGCATACAAATTGTTCTGGGTCACAAAATATCAACTTTCTTTTGCTTTAAAAGGCTTAGTGGCTGGTGTATTAGATGAAGAAACAATTGAAAAGAATGTGTCTCGTATTGGAAAAATTGCAGATGGATCAAGTCATGCTTATCTTACTCTCACTTTACCGGTAACATAAATTCTTTTTAATTATGTTAAGACTTTAGTCATCGATAATATTTGTAGGGCTTTGGTTTACGTGATATTTCAATACTGAGCAATTATAGAAATTTTCAACGAATTGAATTACCCTGCAATGATATTGTCGGTAAGTGTTTATTTACATTTATTTTGAGTACAGTATTTATTTATTTTTTTACTTTTTAGATCTATCACCATTAGGTGAACTTCCGTATTTACTAGAATTAGATGTTTCAAATAATAAAATACGAAAACTACTAGATTTTGTTCCACCATGTAAGAAAAAAATGAGATGGAAAGTACATTATTTCTTTTTCTAAACAACTTTATATCTGTGTTTACAGGTAATTTAAAAGAAGCTGATTTTTCATTCAATCTCATTGAAGAAATTGGCAATTTGAGCAATTTTCACTACTTGCAAAAACTCAATCTCGATAGTATCCTTTTTCTAGTTCTATTGAATGAAATATTCTGTATAAACATAAAAGCGTTTATCTTAACTAAACATGTATACAATAGATAATCAAATATCAAAAATAGATGGGTTAAAAAATTGTTATCGTTTACAACATTTGAGTATAGCTCACAATTTAATAACAACAATTGAAGAATTAGATAATTTACCATTGAAATATTTAAATTTGGTAAGTGAATACACATTATCTTGTACAATATTTCATCAATTTTTTTTCAAGAGATCAAATCAAATAACTACAGTGGAAAATTTGGATACATTACAATATTTGCAACATTTAAATTTATCATGCAACAATATTAATTCACTCAATGGATTTCCTGAGAGACTAAACTTTTTAGAAGTATTAGACTTGGCAGATAATCAGGTAGTACTATTTATTTATTGTTCATAAATATCCAATTGGCATTATTATGACTCATGTGTTTTAGTTTCAAAATTTATCTGAAATTGATCATTTAAGCGAATTACGTCTGTTACGTGATTTAAGTTTACAACGAAATAAAGTAACAGAAATTGATGATTATCGTTTATCGGTTATATTTAAATTACCACAATTAACATCGTTAGATAGACGAAAGATTGATGCAGTAGAAAAGGTAAGTTTATGTTTATCCATGATAATAGTGACAGAATCTAAATATTTTCATTTTAGGTTGAAGCAAAACAAATGTTTAATCCAACGCTTGAATATTTTGCATCCCGAGATCATATGACAAATATTGTATTTTCATTTTTACCAGATCATCGCGTACAAGAAAGGTAAACATTGTTTTTGCATTGCAACCGTGTAAAAGTTGAATTTGTTGATTTAGTACGTTGCCAAATATTGAAACACCATATCCAATGTTAATATTATCCGGACCAGATGGATGTGGAAGAATTGAATTAGCTCATAGACTTGTAGAAGAATTTAGCGAATTTTTTGGCTACGGGTGAGACTTTTTTGATTCATTCGGTTTAGCATCTTACTAAGATTTATCTTATTTTTAGAATATTACATACAGCAAGAGAAAAACGTTCAAATGAAAAAGATCGTGTTGATTATATTTTTATCAAACAAGAACAATATGAAGAAGATGTTACAAGAGTAGATAACTTTGGTTTTTTAAAAATAAATACATTTGTAAACTCTTTTTTATAGGGTGAATTTCTTTGTTGTTATGAGTATTATGGTGATTGGCACGGACTTCAACGAAGTTCAGTGGAAAACGTAGCTAAAGAAGGTCTCGCATGTGTCATACAAATAGAACTCGAGGTATCATGTTACTTCTGAGAAGATTGATCGACTAAACGTCTTTTATGTATGTGTATATATGCAGGGTTTATTGTCGATCAAACAGTCGCACTTTGAACCACGTTGTCTTTTACTATTACCGATGGATAAAAAAATTCATAAAAAACGTTTACAAAATTTGGGATTCGGTGATTCAGAAATAACAATCGCTATTAGTCGTGTGGAAAAATATGCGGAATACAATCGTACACATCCCGGTTTCTTTGATTCATTTATTTGTACAAGTAAGTTTTTTATCTGTATGTTTCAGTATTAACAGCATTCTGTGCCATATGTTTAGATAGTCTTGATGATGGTTATGAACAGTTACGCGAACTTGTCATCAGTTACCTTGGGTTAGAAGACGATAGACTTGAAGCACCGAGACCACATACATCAGATGAAATAAGACGATTCGATGATATTGACATTCAAAGATCTGGTATAATCTCATTTTGATGGCTGACAGGTCAATTAAACTATTTATGCTTCAACTTTTAGATTCATTTTTGCCCTCAACAAATGCTACTGGCTGCCGAAATTCATCTCATCCAAGTGTCGATACACCAATAAATCAGACCAGTGCCGGCCAAAATATTCGAGTTAAATTTGGATCTGCACCAGCACAAATTCAAACTTCTGAATTTAAACTTCGTTTATCAGCTAAAAGTCGTTTAAAAGATTTGTTTCAAGCCAATAATACATCAACAAAAGATCAATTACGACGTCAATTATCAAGAACTGTACCATTAATTGAGCGAAAATCAGTACGTTCAAGTAATGGCAAAAATCCTGAAACTAATGATAGTAGAAATCACAATCGTTCATCAAAATCGGCACCAACACATGATATTTATCAATTATCGTTACAAAGTCCTGACTCAAGCATTGCCAATGAGCCTGATGATCTATTATTAGATCGTGCATCGTCCGAACTACGGGGAGAACTTGATGATGCAATTTCAATTCGAAGTTAAACTTTCATTGAGATATGTTCTAATAACAGTGATAAATATTATTTTTGAAGAATATACATAACTTATTTGTATAATAATGTCAAATATTCTGTCATTAATCGAAAAATATAAATGCATAATCAAATGTTTCAGTTTGTGGTGGATATTGAGATCTTTTTATTCTCGTTGAAGGTGGTGGTAACCGTTGTGTATCGTTATAAACATTTTTTATTGATGAGATTTTTGTATGATATTTAGTTTCACTTTTTCAATTTTCAGCTGTGAAATTGATGAATTTCTATACTACGACCACTATAGATGTCTACGACCACTCTCTATGTCTTAAAATATCTTTTAAATAAATGGCATAAGTTGAACGATTTTGAACAAATATTTTGTTTAACTATTGTTCATTACTGTACATACTTCAAGTCTATAGAAAATGTGAGAACGATGAGGGGAATTTTTAACGTTCGACTATTGAATATGCAAAAGTTTTTATTGCTCAAATACACAGTCGATAAAGACCAAGTTAGCCAATAAGATGAATGAATAGGTATTTGTATGTATGACAACAGAACAAATATTATTTAAGTACAATTTATCATTTTATATTCAAAAAATAATCGGTACAGTGTAATATTCCATTAATAACATCGTATTGAACGACAATAATTTTGAAAAATATCCTATCGAATATTTTGAATGGAATAAATAGATAGCATTTGAAACTGAATTCTCATTTCGAAGTCAAATGCAAATATTATCGATTGTGTTTAATATTTCTAAATAGAATTTTATGTAGAGAATAGATAAACGTTTTATTTAGTTCGAACATATCGGAAAACACACGAAACAGATTTCAAATTTTCAGATTTCACATATTTTTCCCATACAGAAAGGTTATAACAAAGAGGACCAATGAATGACTCATATGTAAACGTTACAGTGGCGGAGGGACAGGGGCCGCTCATCCCCTCGTGCTTTTGAAAATTCGGACGTAAATTTTCTCCAATTTCGAGAGTAAAAAAAGAGAGTTTTCTTCAATTTTGTAGATAGTTTTTGTAGTTTTTATTTCACATTTCTCTCGTTTCACCATATTTCTTCCAAAATTTAGAGAAAAGTTATTGTGTGCTTACTGTATATGTTGATCATATAAAAACGGTTTCCTGTTTTGTTCTGTGTTTCTAATAGAGATATGCGCAGATGCGATTTTCAGACCCGTACTCGACGTGTACTTAACAAATTTCTTTAGGCTTTCTCCAGTTTTATGAGATACTTCCCGCCTGCTCTTAGGTTGTCGCGCCGCCACTGAAACACTACAGCTAAAACTGAGAAGTATAGAGATTAGAATGAGTTTATGGAAAAGCAAAAGACTGGAAAAATGGCAGAGAATGAGGACAACAATAGAAAAATTTACAATGAAAAATTTTAACTTTTTAATTTTTGAGCAGACAAGTATTTACTGAAAACGGGAAAGAGTTGGGCTGTCAACAATCTTTCTAGGCAATTAATTTCACTTTTTAGGTGTGTGGATTAGGAGAGAAACTGTAAATGATGATCTTCTAGTGGCGATTATTTTAAATTGTACAGCGGGTGTAATTCTGCTGGAGTGTCTCGTGCTAGAAGATGTTAATAGTTGGAACCGAGAAAGAGCCGTTCTATTGTTTCTTATTTTGTAGAGATATTATAGACGAGTAAATTTTCTACGGTATGATAATGACTCGAAGTCTACTCTACCTGCAATTGTATCTCTTGCTGAATAGAAGTCGTTGAATATGGTTTTCGAAGCGACACGTTGCACTGAGTTTAAAGGTTTTAAATGTGTCTCGAAGGTACCGTCAAAAACAATCGCAGCATATTCCATACAACTTTCAAGATGTTTAAAAATACTTTGTCATCAAATGGCGAAGATTTACTGAATAGATATTTTATAAAGACATAACACATGTTACACATAATAACAAAAATAGTGCTAACAGCGTTTCCATTGAATGACTCCTGAGTCGTATGCTGATTAGAAGGAGGGAGAAAGATCACACTGTTGTAACAGATTTTCATGTATAACACTCTTAAAGGTAAAGTACGGTTCTTTTAGCGGAATTTATACTACACCACAACAAACCTTTTTTACATTTTCATCTACACTTAATCTTCGAACCGCAAGCTTATTGAAGTACAGAGAAGTACTCTTCTTACTTGCACAGTCTATTGAGTGCTAGACACGTTTCATCGGCCGTGGTACCATGGTACTTGGGAATAACCAAACAATCAAGATAAATAGATTTAGCGAATGATGCAACAATGGCACGTTCAAAAAATCAGCAAGAAATTTTAAGTCGCGTATAATTAAGGATGTTCATTGTTTTTTGCTTCTTTATGAAGGAAAGCTATGCTATCTGTTCGCGATATCGTTCATCGCCTGAGAACGACATTTTTTTTGTTTCTCACGGAATTTGCGAACGAAAAGGTGACTACTTTTATAGATTTGAGTTGAAATTCTGTAGCGAATTTGCTGTATGGTATACAAAACATTGTTTGAGGTTAAGGTAGCCTCCTAAGACACCACAATCAACATAATAAGACGGGAAAAGCGGAAAAACCCGTTGATTATGGCACCTCAGATGACTACCCTGTTTGAAATGGACAAAGGATGTGAGACATAATAAAATTTTGACAGGTCTCGCATAGTCTCGTTTGATATGAACATTCTATACCAGTAGTATCATATATCAAACGAAGCGTTAATCTATTAATTTATTTATCACGACGTGTGGAACAATATTTTAATTTTTTTACTTTTTTTGTTGTTGATACGTATTTGTTCACAGTTTCTGTGATGTAAGTTTGTTTGCATATGTCGATTCTAAGAAGAGAAAAGGAAATTTTTTCATCATCAGGAAATAGGACGAATCGATTTCAATCATGAAAAATAATGTTGGTACAATCATTTTATATTATAGTCGACTGTTTCAAGCTTTATTTGTACTATAATTAATGTTTTAAGACTGAAAATATGAATAGTAGAATTTTTTCTTAATTTGGTTATTTGAATTATTGAATGTACTGGTGATCATTTGCTAAATTGAATAATAGACGTTTTAAAGACTGGTAGATAAAAACATCCATTCTCTCACCAATTTTTCACTATTTATCATAATTGATATCTTAGAGATCCTACACTATCAAATTACTTTGCTGTAATAGTTCAATGTTCATTTTGCTAGCAATAATATCTCCACGCAAAATAATATATCAAATCAAACATAGTTAGAATAAGAGTTTTTATTGTACAAAATAAATGAGAAAGCTTTTTTCTTTCTTCCATCCTTTCTTTATGTAAAAGTCAGATTTCGCAAACATTTCCTTTTCTTTTGATAGAGTCCCGCTTTTACAATTTTTTTCTCTTTTGTTTGAACGATTAGTATTAATATTAAAATGACAAAAGAATTTATAGTAGTATATTCTTCCGTTTCGAAAATAATTTTTTTTTTTTCAAAAGAAAGAGAGCAAGTAGACTATGTTAAATACAACACCCACTTATTTAGTTATTTTTTTATAGAAAAGATCGATTTATGTCTGAGAACATTATATGATGTTTGTGAAAGAAAAAAAGTGTCATTGGCTAATGTCGATGTCTCATTAAACCAATGTTATAATGAAGCGGTAAACATTTTGATCATATTTATTTTGTAAGGAAACGATTGACAAGGAAAATTTTTCTGGTAAATAACATAGTATAGAAGAAAAATTAATAATATAACAGTATGAAGAAAAAACATCAGATTCTCTTTGCTTTTCTCACTTGTTAAAGCATGTACTTTCTCACAGATATTGAAGTGAACCATATGAAACACTGCAGTAAATATCTTAACATATCACACAGAAAATTGAGACACAGTTGTTGGAAACGACATGAAAACTTTAAAAGGTATGGTCATGCAACTCACTGAAATGCTTCGATCGCAAAAATAATTTGTTAACTAATAAATTTCACTAAATCAGGATTTTTCTTCAATACAAAAACTTTTCATTCCTTTTTCAAATGATGCATCTTTGTTAGACTGTATATTATAAAACAATAGAAAGTAGAATTTGATTGTCTAATCGATAGGTGTGTTTATCTTTGAACAAGTTCAATTTGGTGATAGCTAAAGTGTGGGAATAGTATGCGCCTTTATCACAATGCAACATTCATACAGACACACACTTGGACACTCGAAATAAAAACAAAATTTGTTATCACCTTCATCATCATCTTATAATGTGCTCTCATTTATTGATAGGAATTAAATCGATTGGCAATTTAAGTGTTTCTTAAAAAACATGGATTGTACTGATAAAACACAAATATCTGCTAAATTGTGATGTTTAACCTAATCAGAGTATGTTAGACTAAAAAAACACTAGCATTAAGATGTGCACACCATGAACTCAATTTTCAAGGTTTATTTTCAATTGGTGAGATCTTTTATTTGATTATCGAAAAAGTGCTGTGACGTTTGAAAACAAACGTCGCGGATAATTTCTTCATACTGTAAAAAAACAAGTGCCCCATGACACTTTTTTTGGGCGATGAACAGGACACTATGAAAAGTGCCCCACTATGTCACACGTTTTGGAGTCACTGTCAACGCGAAAACTGAAAACCAGTGCCCCATAGTGGGACATTTTTCATAGTGTCCTGCTCAGCGCCCCAAAAAAGTGTCCTGGGGCACTTGTTTTTTCACAGTACAGACGATGAGATCATGATAACAAATCGTCTTTTATTGATTATGGCTTCATCTAATGTAGGAGGAGGAGAGGAAGACGGTGGTTTATCAGACTAACGAAACACAGGAATGCGTGAGTTTTTTCCACTAATAATACCATACAAGAAAGGCAACCTATAAAAAAATCTAAAGAGAAACCTCAGTTCTATACTTAAAATAAAACTACGGCAATATGAGAAACAGATTCGTGTTTAGAATCAACAAAGAGAAAAAAGTTTAAAATTGTTAAAAAAGCCTCTTTAACTAGACACTTCGTGATATAGCGATTTCAGTTTTCATAGTAAAATGATAATAAATTGTGATCCAAAGAAGATGATCTCTTTTTTTCTAACCAAAATGTAGCATAAGCTCTTGTCTGTCTACAGTGTAAGTTCAAAGTGTTGACTGTCAATGTTTACTGCAATTCAGCGACTTTTTTACGATCAACGGTCACACTTAGAAAAACATATCATCGGCACAAAAAAAATAAAATTGGTTTTGAGTTGCTGAAAAGTGCTTTTCCATATTCAGCACATTCGATAATCCAGAAAATTTTCTATTTTTGGCGAGGGGTACTTTCAAAAGTTTAGGAAAAATTTTGAAACAAAATGACGCAAAAAAATCTCCATGGAAAAATAATATTGGTTAGAAAATTTTTCCTATACTTTTGGAAGTACCCCTCGCCAAAAATAGAAAATTTTCTGAATTATCGAATGTGCTGAATACGAAAAAGCACTTTTCAGCAACTCAGAATCAACTTTATTTTTTTTTCGGTGATATGCAATAACCAAAAAATAATCAATAAGGACCTACGGTGACAGAAAAAGTAGACGAAACTTTATTAAGAAGGTTTGATGCATACAGAGGTATCTTATACTATTTATCTATATACTTCAAAAATTAATATTTCTCTACTATTTCTCATAAACATTTCATTTTTCACCTGCATTATTTTCAATATTCATGGTCTTCATGTATATCTATTACCAAACAATTTCGTTTTTCATGCACATCATGTCGTATCAAATATCTCTTTTCTCATATACAAAAAGAATGATTATTTAACGTTGACGTCGTCTATAGCACGTTTCCTTCTTCATCTGCTTTTTATTTTCAAATATAATAAAAAATCCTATGAACACATAAGAGGGAGAGAGAGAGAGAGAGAGAGAAGAGAGGCGTTGCAAACAGTTTAACTCGGTTCATACATATCTAATTGATTAGCAGTAACGGTCAAATGAAATATAATGGTCAACAAACAAATCAGAATGAAAAATAGTAGTAAGAGAAGAAAACACGAATAGAAAGTAATGGTGTTTATTAAGAAATTCATTTTATTGTGTAAATTTGAACATGATGTTATCAAAAATAATTTCGGTATATAAACACATGTTAATAGCTTCAGTAACATTTCATCAATACTTCATTGTCATAATTAATATTTTCTTCTATTATAGACGACTAGTTTCAATTTAATATATGTATGTCGGGTTGACTTAAAAAGTGACTCAGAAGCAGGGTCGTGATGAGAGAAAAAATCAGGGGGGGGTTGTATATTTTTAGAATAAAGTAATAAATCCAAAAAGAAGGACGGGCGTATACTCTCTTACACCCCTCTATCAACACAGCCTCGCTCAGAAGTTGTAAAAACCAAATATTCTGCCTTCTGAAATATAGTTGAATCAACCTTTATTTTTCCTCAGAAACGTTAACAATAAAAGCTTTCTGAATTCGTAATAGTTTGAATTATTTTTATCTGATAGTCTGTCAGTATGTCTGAGACACCTACTGCTATTAGATGAGACAGTGCATATATTATAAAGCTATTGATATACCCAAAATGATTATCAATAAATTATAGAAACAACAGAAAATGTTGTACATGTGCTGCTGTTTTTAGTCCAATTAGATATAGTGTGACATTACAAAGAAGTTGACGTGCTTAACCAACAGTAAACAGGATACTATAATATACCAAAAAAAAAGAAGAAAAAAAATCAGTTTATGGGAATATATGCAACTGCTCGAGTATAGTCTTTCTTTCTTTCGCTTTTTTTTTTTGCTTCAATACAGAAACCTGCTGTAAACGACATAGATGTGTATATTAATATTAATACTTTTAAATAGTAATATGTATACATACATTTTTTTTTCATCCATTTGTCACGTATCTATCGCTACTGAACTATATATTGATACTCTCTTCTTTCCATTGGTTACAATCTGTGGAATAGAACCAATCGAAATTGGTTGTTGAAGAAACCAATGAGACATATATTATTAGCATATATTATTAGTATGATATATACATAGTATCGAAAATGTACTCTTTTATTTTTTTGGTTGTTGTAACAAAAGAAGAAGAAAAAAAGGAGAAACATTCATCGCTAGAAACAAAAAAAATAAAATAAAAAAAGAAAGTTCTGATGTGGTATTGAATTTTTTATTCTGAGTGTCTGTTTCTGACACTACTCTTTTGCATCACTTCTCTAATGGTTATGTTTTTAAGTAGGTGTACACTAAATAAATAATTTCCTTTTCTACAGTAACGGTAGGCACAAATACAAGATTTTTAATATCATTTTATTATTCTAAAACAAAATATGAGTGAGAAATGAGGCTTTAATTGCAAAATATTTTAAATCCAGAAATCATACCCTTACAAATCCTTTCAACATAACGCCAGTTTTACAAATTAAGATAAATTTCCTAAAGTCTACTATCAACTTTGAAGTAGTAGTTTTTAAGCCCGTCGATGAAAAGTTTATTTTTTATTATAAGTTTATTTCTGATATATAGTTGTTGACAAAACTCTCTCCTAGAAGCCTATTTCAAGCACAAGCTTAGTATTGAGCGAGTATGGCGTTTTACAGAACAAAAGTCTCAAATACTACTACCTTAACTTTTTACTTTCGCGTAGAATCAATTAGTAAACTATCCGATGTTTGTTATTGGAGTAGTCATGTGGATTAGATTGAAAAGAAACGCGCAACATACAGCCTTAGGGGATGTCGCAAGCAGCGCCGCGAGGAGAAGAAAAAGCAGGAGGGGTGTAACTTTTTGAGAGAAAACCATAGAAGTACGAGAAGACAACATCATCTACCATCAGAATTTCAACAGAATAACTAAATGATAATAATAATGTTGATATCAATTGAGAAATTTGTCATGGAAGGAAAGTGGAAGAAAGATTTTGCTCTTAATTATTTTGGGAGACAAATGAGAGAAAGCGTGTTTTCGTTGAATATTGATTAGGTTGATTACCAAACCAAGGCAAGAGCGCAGAGGAAATTCTCGAGAGAAAAGAGATTGTTAAAGAGAAGTTTTTTTTCCAAAAACAGAAGGGGCATACACCCCCCTACACCCCTCGTTTGACCACGGCACTGGACGCAAGACAAGTCTTTTTATAATCTTGTTCGGACAGACGACTAGCGAAAAACTGCATTGGATAATATCTTTACGGTTTGTAATTAATTCGAAAGTATTTGTAAACTTTAATTATTTTAAAAGCACAGCAATCAATTAAGTAATATAGTCAAAGTAATTGAGCACCACATTTTTTACACTCATTTTCTGTGAGATATGAAATAGTAATTATTTAATGTCGTTTATTAAGCAAAATATTCTTTATAAATTTTTCGATAGCTAAATTATTTTTTGTTTTGTTTACTTTAGAAGCTCAACTATAGAGACATATGAATTCATTAATGTCATATCATTTGAATGAACAGCGTGGAGGTTCGTTGATAATTTCAGAAAGATATTTCATTCTTTCGCGATTTTGTATTCTAATTAGAATGAAAATAATGTGTGAGAACCAGTTTTCTCTACTGAATTTTAGTTCGTCGACCAAAATGTGCCCGTTGTCGTAATCATGGAATGATATCTTGGTTAAAAGGTCATAAACGACATTGTAAATTTCGTGATTGTGCATGTGCCAAATGTAATTTGATAGCAGAAAGACAACGTGTAATGGCAGCGCAAGTACGAAACGAAAAATAGCGTAATTACATCAGTGAAAATTTAAATCTATTTTAAGGTTGCTTTGAAACGTCAACAAGCGTCTGAAGATGCTATTGCTATACGTGTAAGATGTTTATCACCGTTTGCACAATTGCCAGCCGGTCCCGTTTGGGGAAATGTTTCATCATCCTCAACAACAACAACAACAACAACCAAAGAAGAGGATACAACAGATGAAGAAAAACCAGGTAAAGTCGACATTTTATATCTCCAGCATGAGAGAGAACAAGGAATACAAAAACGCGTTCAGCCTTTATAAGTTACATATGACTGAATATCTGAGCAAGCACAAATTTATTTTTCTAACAATTAATTTATGAAGCAGCAGCCGAAAATGTTTCCGTTTTGGTGAGAGCAACACGTATTTGTTTATCTTGGCTAAGAATTAGATAAGTGTGTCAGCTGTCAGAAAATCTTGTCTATCATGTCGATCAAATTGATTTCTTGGTATAATTTACTGATTTTTTTATCCTTCCTAAATGTGTGTTCTAGAAAAAGGGCCGACATCATCGAATTCACCAATGGATGAGCAATCACTCAGCTCCATATCCCCAAAAGAGAGTAGTCCAAAATCAAAAACTGGTGAATCGACTAATCATACAACCACACCACCAACAACAACAACAAATACATTGAGTGTAAATTCTGATTCTGAGGATGAAAACAACTATTCACCAGATGCTGCTGTTACTCCACGTCATTCATATATTGAATTACTCGAACGTGTATTTCCAATGCAAAAGCGCTCAATTTTAGAACTAGTATTGAATACATGCCATAATGATTTAGCTAAAGCCATTGAACATTTCATGGTACTTGGTGATAGTCTAGCAACATCTCACCATCAACAATTACAAACAACGACAACAACAACAAAATCAGCATTTACTCCTATCAGTCCATTATCGACTTTCACGGCGGCTGCATTTGATTATCGACCGACAATGTATTTTTCTCATCGCGATACTCACCAAACACATCATCATCACACATCCTGTCCACCACCATTATCGTTTGTTACACCAGGACTTTATCCACCACCAAATTTTTTACATTTGACACATGCCGGTCAAGCAGCAGCGTTAGCTTACGTATCTGCAGCTGCTGGAGAAAAACTTTCCAAAAGACAAGATATTCTATGTTCGCTAAAATACGATCGATAAATATATTCAATTTTCAGTCATGCCCTAGAATTAAAACAATCTTTTTCTTTCTTTTTTTGCTTTTTACATTACTATTTTAATTGTATCATAATCATCTTTAATAAAACAAATATACACGATAAATTCAAGTTGAATTCTAATCACTATTAAACATTAGGCATTAAACATCACAGTTTTTTCGTTCTTCAAAAGAAGTTTTCTGCGGAAAAACTATTAGCCCAAAAAAATTTCTCTTACTCAAAATATTTCTTAAGAGCACTTTCTCAGTACAAAATGCCTCATGTACCTCTAGTTAACATGTCAACAACGAAATATTAATGCGATTTTAGATAAAAAACGTACAAATAATTTCTCTTGTTCATGTTCCGGCTAATTATTTCGTTAAAAAAAAGCAGCTCGGATGTTAGAGTCTATATGTATGTGTATAATCTAACTTTATACTATCCTTGATCAACCTTATCAATCACAATGATTACTTTTCATCTAAGTTCCCAGCCTTTAAATATGTACTCCATATATATCAATATTCTCTTTTTTTATGTTAATAAAAAAGGTGTCAAAACAGGATATGAGAATGTTTATTATCGTGCGGTTACTTTTTCTTTGATTCCAAGTAGCTGCGTTTACTCGGCATGTACACATTTTAGTATAATGTGCATATATATGTTATTTTCTTATTTTTATATATGGTACCATTGCTGCTTCTAGCAAAGTTCATTAATAAAGTAATGTATGCATGTGTGATGATGATGATGTTGTTTTATCATCTAAAGCGTTTGATTCAGTTTATTTATACAGAGATCATGATAATTTTTCTTACAAAATATTAAATAGCACCTTATTGTCTCATGCTGTTAGGTACAGATCAATTGCCATATTACGAATAACATTTAACGAGCATAATATGAGCATAGTACAGTAAAATATCTGTATAGTCTTTTCCATATTTAGTGGAAACATCAACATGTGTAAAAAAATTAATATTTTCTCTAATGATTTTTGCCCTATTTTGTAATTTGGATATGATATTATATGAAATGTGATGTGATTGAAAAAAAATATGATTTAATGTTAAGTAAAATGTTTTCAAATAGTTACCATGAAATATCTTTCAAAATATTTGGACGTATGGGAGAGCAGCAAAACTGCCATTTCATTGATATTTAACGTCATTTTCTACAGAGATTTAGCACATTTAGTGACAGATTGTTAATTTAATCAAAAGAATCTACATTAGTCTAACTTGTTTTTATGACCATAATCTTATCGACTAGAGTTTATTCACGAACTAAAATATTAATAGAGAAGATAACAAAAAGATTGGCCTATTGGTCATTTAATCCTTGTTCAAATAAATTTTCTTTTTCACTTCTATTCTCTTCCTAAACGCATCACCTATCATTGGTGTATTTGTCAAAGTAGTGTTATATATACACGCAAAAAGTAATACATCGACTAATAGAATTATTTATCTGATCGAAAAAGTCAGTGTCTTCAAAAGCAGTTCATATTAACAGACACACAGTATTTTCAATAAGACTATAAAACTTCTAGACAAATAGTGCATCTTTGCGACTATTTAAGAAGTCAACATTAAAAAAATTAGCAAATTTATTTTAAATTAATTATTAATAATTACGATTGAGCTTCCGAAAACGACTACTCTTAAATTGGAGACAAATCAGATGAGTTTTTAGTCGAAGATATCTGATAATCGAACGCTTACATCCCATGAAATATTTTTGATACCCTAACGCAGGTTAGCACGCGTTAAAACAAGTAATAATTTAACGCATGCGCACAGGTTAAATGGTCTGGAATGCGTGCAAACGCGTTATCTTCTGAACTTGTATGA